CAACGTTTCAGGCTCTTTTATTTCAGGAGACCTTTGCACCACGGACGCAAGTTCTGTTGTTCTGCAATGTTTTAAGTTGTGTTTCTAAATGTTACTTACGGTGTGTTTTTAATTTTTTGTAAGCTGCTTTGAAACCCAGATGGGGTGAAAAGCGGGATATATTTTTTAAAATAACATGAGCAAAAACTGTACAGTGATCTCTAAAGCGGGTAAAGTTGTTTCTTCTTTTCTTTTCTTTTTAATATTTGTGTAGTCACCATCAACCTCACCACAGCCTGAGTTTAGCCACTGCAAAATGAAGGCTTCACCCTTGCGTCGCTCTGCTTCCTTGACCCTGATCAGATGCAATCATGTAGCCTCTGCAAAAGCCACAAGCCCTGTAAAGGCTACCAGTCCACCTGTCTCCCTCCAGCGCTGGCGGCCCACAATACCCCTATCATCTATTGGGCTCCATTCTTTTGTAAGTGTAGTCAATCTTCCATCTCTTCTCTGCGGCAGGCGCCCTTGACATTTAGGCTTAATGGCGGGTCTCTTTGGCTCTGAATTCCCTTAGGGCTTTTTCCAGTAGACGAAGCATACTGTCTTAAATCCTCATCAGCAGACAAATAGCATTAGGAACGTCTACTCCCCCCCCAAAAGATTTTTCCCATCTTCCATCTGGTTTCTCTTATCTCATTGGTGCTTCGTTGGGTCTGCTAATTCTTAGTTCTGTGCCAAATCTGCTCCTATCACATCTGATTGAAAGTCTCTCTGCTTTTTTCCAGGGCCCAGTGCTCTGCGCGCTTTGCAATACTCTCCAGCTCTTCCTGATCTAAATCTTTCATCAGAGATGTACAATATGGCTTAAATGTTGTATTGGCATCGCTGATTGTTTACATTTGCAGTAAATATATGTATATTCTGGTTAATTGTAAAAATCATCCAATATGATCTTGATTGATCTTGTTCCTTTCTTTTGTAAAAACAGGCATTTGAATTATACCAATGAACAAATATTTTTCTGCAACTTAAACAAAAGGTGCTTATCTTGTTTTCAAATTTCCCTTGTCTTTTTATGACTGTATTAAACTGCATTGTGTGTTCAAATTCTAATCTTTTTTACTTCTAGTTTGGGAGAGGCCTAGCTACTAGGAAGAGAGTCTGAACACTGTCTCTGTGTGGTACTGACAACATGAATAGGTTTTTAAATTTCTATTAAGATGCTAACCTTTGGCTTAAAATAGAGAGTTCATATAAGCATTAAAATTTTGTATAAATAAAGTTTATGGGTGCTTATTGCTATTACTTCCGTATTAAAAAATTAATATACAGACACTGACCTACATAAAACTAAAAATACCCTACTCTGGATAAATATGTTATGCTGTAACAGTTGGTTTGATGGAGGATGTAAAATATCTCATAACCAGCTCAGTAGCAGACTTTTGGATAAATTAAAAGAGCAGTGATCTGAACTGATTAAGATGTATTGTAAAGAGTAAACAAATATGGACCACATAGACTCTTCTTTTAAAATCATCAAAGAAGGCAGTTGTCAAGAGATATGCAGTACTTTCAGAAATTGAATGAACCAGACCCAAATTCTCATAACAAGAAGTGGGATAAGGGAGTGCATCAATCTTACTCTTTCTATACAACAGAAACTCCTCTTTGGAACTGTGCGTAGACTACTAAGCGCTAACCAGAAGACAAACTTCTAAAAAATCAATATATCAGTGGTATCTTTCAGCTCAAAGATCAAGCAGGATATACAAGAGCAATAGCACTCTACAGCATCTTGACCAAACGAGATGGAGGCAGGAGGCAGAAGGATGTTCATTCATTGTGGAAACTCTTTTCCTTTGGCTGCATGCTAGTACTCATCCATGTAGTTTGTTGGAAAGCTTGCTAACTCTGTAAGACACTGAATACTTTAGCACCAGGAACCTTTAACAATGGACAGTGAATGGTCTTCTGTGATCAGCTGGAAGCACAATTATAACTGACGGAGCTGTTTCCCCCACAGTCCTGTCTTTGTTACATTTAAAGAGGTCCACAGGAACCTGGGAAATCTGTTCAAACAGGGTTTGCGTTCTTTGCATCTACATGATGCAGCCATGGTGTGAATGAACCTATTTATTTCAGTCACTGGCCAGAGTACAGCCATGGTGTCACTCTGAAATGAAAAAGTGCAGCAATGTCAGTTTGAACACATCAACAACTTTTTTTACATCTCTGTGCAAACTCATTGCTGTGAGTGAACACTTGCTGGAGGGGACAACAGGAAAGTCACGGGGAAGGCATGAGAATATAGTGGTGCCCCGCAAGACGAACGCCTCGCAAGACGGAAAACCCGCTAGACGAAAGGGTTTTCCGTTTTGGAGGCGCTTCGCAAAACGAATTTCCCTATGGGCTTCCTTCGCAAGACGAAAGCCCATAGGGAAATCTGCGGGACAGCGGGGAAGCGCAGCGCGTCTTCCCCACTGTCCTCGGACCTCCTCCCGCCGCCAGGCTTCGTAAGGCTGCTCCGAAGGCTGGCAGGGGGGCGGAGAGACCTTCTCCCCACGCCAGGCTTTGGAAGGCTGCTCCGAAGCCTGGCAGGGGGGCAGAGAGACCTTCTCCCCGCGCCAGGCTTCGGAAGGCTGCTCCAAAGCCTGGCGGGGGGGGCGGAGACCTCCTCCCGCCGCCAGGCTTCGGAGCAGCCTTCCAAAGCCTGGCGGGGGGGGCGGAGAGGTTTTTTTAAAAACCCCGGGACAGCGGGGGACTTCTCCGCTGTCCGGGGCGATTTTAAAATGCTGCCGTGCGCACCGACCCCTCTCGCTCTCCAAGCTTCAGCGAAAGCCTGCATTCGCCCCATAGGACGCACACACATTTCCCCTTCATTTTTGGAGGGGAAAAGTGCGTCCTATAGGGAGAAAAATACGGTACCTTTTTCTGAAAGTGACATGAATGTGGGACCGAAAATCTGTGACAATGAAAATTTAAGATCTGAAGGAAACCTAGAACTAAAATGCTTTTGAATGTCCTCTAAGGCTAAAACTGATAGGGTCTAGAAGAAACCTCTGCAAGTCTCCAATGTGATACTTCATCAGAGGCACAAAGGTTCCATGCCCCTGTGTAAGTAATGCAGAATTTGAGTGCTAAGTACATGGCAAACCGCTTTGAGTCTTGCGGCACAACTGACCCCAATATAATATTGACTTGTGGGGAAAACATCTTGAGACTATACTCCTGACAACATCCCCCTATTTTTCCACCGTGGAAGTCGCTACAGTCTCAAAATTACAAGTTTGTTATAAGATTGGCAATTATAAGTGGCCATGGGTGAAAAGCCAGCCAGACCATGTTTCATATCCATGCTTTTTCCACTTAACATTCAAAGCAGGCGTGGACATATCAGTCACACAGATACCAATCAGTGAGTCATGTCAGATTTTCTGTGCATTCCCTGCACACTTTGTGCAACTTTGTAAGCCACTATTGCACCTCCCGTTTAGTTGTGTCTTCCTTCCCCACAAAAGAGAGCTGCAAACTATATATTTGCGCCTCTTTGCAGAAAAAGGTGTCCCATCCTTTGATGTTTTTTATTCTCTTCTTAACACTTTCACAACTCTTATACAAATCTTTCATCTCTACAGGGAGCTGCTGTTCCAATCTAGAAATGAATGTCTCTAGCTTGGACACTTGTGCCATTATATCTGCAAATGACACTGTCATAACATTACATTAGGTTTGTAGTGTTCTTAACGTGTGCCGTCGGCATGTTGTTGCAAAAGCTATGTACTAACCCAGAGTTTTTGGCACTGAAATGCTTCTTGCATCAATGAGAACACTTGGAATACCTTTTGGCAGAAATCTGAGACTTCTAAAAAATGAAGTTAATTTTAACCAGCTTCTGGAGCTGTTGCCACGAAGAACAGTGTATTTTGGATGTCTGTTAGACCAATACTTTGTGCATAGGTGGAATTAAATTACCGTGATATATTTGCTTCGGTTGACTTACACAGCCATTCTGTGTTTCTAATTCTTAAGCTGTCATACTGGCTATTTTGTTAAAATCGGATTATCATTATTCTATACCACCCTTCATCCAAAGATCACAGGGCAGTTTACAATATAAAAACTTCATTTTCACTTTTGTTTTGCGTGGGGGGGTGGGGGTGGGGCTGCAGATCAATAGCATTTTGTAAACTGTGTGGCTACAAAATGCCCAATAAATAGCCATGGTCAATTTTATTATTTGTTTAGAAATATTTGCACCCCACTTATGCACCAAAGGGCTCACAAAAGTGGCTTACTAAAAATCTCACAGTAAAAATAACATTTTAAGTCTAGCATTGGGATCAGAAACAACATGGTTCCCTATAGTGCCAGGATTATTCAAGTACCGTTTCGTATCACCACCCTCTGTTTTTCCTGGTATTGTCCTGTGGCCGTTGCCTGATAACCAGCCCAGCAAAACGGAAGCTGTGTTTTTGTTAGGAAAGGACCATTTCAGTATGAGATTATGTATACAGACTCAAAACACAAGAGTTTTCAGTGCAATCTTACGCCTTAGCTGTAGACCTCATTGTGTTCAGTGGGATTTGCATCTGTCAGGGGTGTATGAAAGGGAGAGGGCATATTTTTGTCTAGTGTGAAAATTTATATATTAGCCCAAATTTCAAGTGTGTGTATGTGTTAAAGTACATTTTTTGTAGGTACAGTAGTGGCCAAAGTACCACCTTCACCCTCCATTCCTTTGAGACAGGTCTCTTCTCTCTCCAGTGCCAAAGTTCTCAAATGAGAGGTGCCAGAGGTCAAGCCTGGACAGAACCAAAACCAACCCTAGAAGCTGGTTCAGTCTTGAGGAACAATGTGCTTTTCTTTATTTAGAAGCCCATGTCTTTTATACTTCACATGTATTGTTCAAACCGGGTTCATAGGTTGAGTCCTGGCTCGGGTTAAGTTCTTCCCAACTGGGTAGAGCAAGAGTTTCAGCTCCTACTAATGACTTGCATGCATGTTGTATTCTCTCGCAGGCACCCAGTATAGATGAAAAAGTAGATCTTCACTTCATCGCATTAGTAAACATTGATGGCAATCTCTACGAGTTGGGTAAGAGCAATCCTTCTCTTTCAAAACGGATCATATTATCATCTAAGGTAAAGGTACCCCTGCCCGTACGGGCCAGTCTTGACAGACTCTAGGGTTGTGCGCTCATCTCACTCTAGAGACCGGGAGCCAGCGCCGTCCGCAGACACTTCCGGGTCACATGGCTAGTGTGACATCCTTAATGCCTTAATGCTTAATTTTTTATATTTTTACCTCGGGTGTATAGCCTGCCTGCCAAGAACGGATAGTGATTATAAGATCGTCCAGTAAAGAATTCTCGGTCAAGAGAACCACAGTTAAGAGGAATTGAAGAATATTGGAACAGCTAGTTTTGAAAGGGGAAAGCTGTTAACCTGATGAGCAGGCCTCCGTTTTAGTTCATAACTTGTTTCTGATTTTTTAATGTATGAGTTGATAATGGGTTTTCCCCTACCTTGAATGTGCCATGGATTTAGAGTGACCTTTTGAAGATGTATGTTGTCTTCCATGAGCCTGTATAAAGTGAAGTCATAGGAAACTTGCAATTGCAAACCTTGCATGTGAAAAAGGCTGTGGATTCAGTCCCCAGAATATCTGATCGAACAATCTCTAGTAACAGGGTTAAGAGAGGCAGTTGCCTAAGACCTCAGAACTTCTAATACTCATTAGTGCTGTGTCATTAGTATAACTTCTTTGATTTGAATCCATAGCACCAAAACTGTACATCCAAAGTTTCCTAAGATCTCCTCGTATTGTACTGTCCTTTTGTGCCTTATTTAGTCTGTTCAGATTATTTGCTTTTTGAATCCTGGAAGACCACCTAAACACAAAACACTTACGCTTTGCCACAAAAGTATGCTATTTATATTTATAGATAACAATTTACCAGAATAGACTAGGGAATAGAATAAAAAAAAACTTAGCTTGCAAACTGTGTGTGGTCAGCTCTAGGTCTGTGGAACACAACCAAGAATGTGCATTGCGGAACTGCCTCTTGGAGTGCTGCGTATATAGAAGTCAACCATTGCAGTAAACACATCGAAAATGTCTAAAGCGCATACCTCATATGAAAATAATTTAGGGATTTGTCCGTGATGGAATAAAAATAGCTACCAAACTAAATGAATTTACACAAGAAACTGAAAAGTGGGAACGGAAGACAAAGTCTTTCCCGGCATATTTAATGGAAGCTGAGAAGTTGGCTTCATGAATTTGGCTATCTATGTTGGATAGCTTTAAAAAGTAATTGCCATGGAGGATCAGCCTGCTACTATTAATCAGGTAGTTAAATTGTGCCTCCATACTTAATGGCAGTGAATGTCTGAATTTATAAAACCAAGCATAGAAGGGCCTTTGCCTGTGGGTCCAGTTTGAACTTGGAGGCATGTGTCTGGGCTCCAGTGGTGGCAATGGGAAGCTAGTCTACAGGGGATCTTAATTCATTTTATAGTAAGTTAGCATGAAAAACTCAGTAGCTTTCCATTTGCTTTGATCTGTAAGACAGAGTTGTTCCGCCTGGCCTTTGGCTTGGAGCCAGTTTGATTCCCTCCCTCTCTTTCTTTTTTCTTTTCCTTCTCCTGCGAGGAGGCTACATTTTAATATTTTAATGTTGTATTTTAATTTTGTTTTTAAGTTGTAATCATTCAACTTGTTTTTATTATAGCTTGTAAGCCGCTCTGAGCCCGGCCTTGGCTGGGGAGGGCGAGGTATAAATAAAAATTATTATTATTATTATTATTATTATTATTATTATTATTATTATTATTATTATCTGTGTACATGTTTATAAAGGAAGAACTAGAGCAATGCCCAGCTCTCAAGACCAACTCTGTCAGTGGAATTGGTATATGCTGTTAATACATAGTCATTCACATTTTTGTTCCAACAAGCTTTTGCAGCTGGATGAATAGGTCTCTGCTATAGTTCATAGAATCATGGAATTCTAGAGCTGGAAGAGACCCTGAAGATCATCTAGTCCAACCCCCTGCAATGCAGGAATTTGTAGCTATCCCAGATGTCCATTTTCTGTTATTTCTAAACTTCCTGTTTTGTTTAGGGGTTTTTTTTTGTACAGTTTTGTAACTTTTTTTTAGTAGGGCTTATTGCATGTCATACCTTGCCTTGGGACATATGTTGTGGAAGGTGATTAAATAATGATGATGATGATTTTAAACCTTGGCTACTCGTACAAATTTAACTATAGTACAATTTCGTTGTACGTATAGTGGGGAAAATATCAAAGGATTAAATGACCTTAAAACTTATTTTATGGGATCACATGAGGTGTAGTATTTGCCCCATGAGGAAGATTGCCATGTCAAATTTACTACTTAATGCTTTCTACATAAATTCTTAAGAATTTTCTTTCTGTGTTTTCCAACAGATGGACGGAAGCCTTTCCCAATAAACCATGGGCAATCTAGTGACGACACTTTTTTAGAGGTAGGAATGTTGTTTCATATCAGCAGACTTTGACACTTCTTATAGCAGAGCTGTTGTGGGTGGTATGAAGTATTTACTATGTTATTTTGTGAAACTGCTGTTGTAGAATATAGTACAAACTTAGATGAGCTTCAAATTGCCAGTACTGCTAGAAGCTGGGCATACTGAATATTGTTTTCTGCTTGGTATTATCTTTATGATCAATCTTCTGATCAGTCAAAATTCCTGGTAAACAAATGCAGAACTGTTCTCACCACTCCTAGTGTTAGTTAGGCAATGACTGATCAATTTCAGTTGTGTTTGTTTTGCAAAATAGATGACACATCCTTATCCTTTCTTTCCTCTTACTAGGATGCAGTAGAAGTATGCAAGAAATTCATGGAACGTGATCCAGATGAATTAAGGTTCAATGCAATTGCTCTAGCAGCTGCCTAAATTATTCTTGCACAAGGACAGAAACTGCCTAATGTATTGTAACAGAATAATGCTTTTGCCATAAATCAATGATTGAGTTTTTGATACCATGCAAATAACATGTTGATGTGGATTAAACTTCAAATTTGTCCTTTATCTCGTGTAGCCTGTTTCTTCTAGAGTATTTTGAATGATTGCATGCATGCATTCCAGGAGAGCAGCTGTGTTAGTAGCATAACATAATGAAAAGCGCCATGGACCCAGTTCACAGGTTTTGTGTTTTTTTTTACTGAGAGCAAGCAATCCTGATCATCCTCATACATAGCACAGCAAAATTCATCTGATGCTGTCTAATTTGGCTACCTTGGATGTGGCCCATAGCAGTTTCTCTGATTGCAGCAGCCAGAGAAAGCTTCACCACTATAAAGGAAATTGCTGCGGGCACAATGCAGTTCTCAACATGAACGTGCAACAAAAGAAAGGTCAAGACAACTCCTGTTTGCAGAGCAACTGATCTGGTCTTACGGGTTATTGCATGGACTTTTGGTAAGCACTTGCCAACTTCGTGAGATGCTGTTAAGGGAGCAGTCCTGTACACAAGAAGCTCATATATGTTAATCCGGTGTAAAGTTACACCAGATCCAAACCCCATTCAGGAGCAAGGCTACTTGCTCTCAGCTGAGCTGGCCCAAATCTGTCAGAGAGGAAAACAAGTGTTTGAAAGTGTTTGACTTTCCCCACACTTTCTGCATTCTGGGGTTGCTCTTAACCGCAGTAGGCCTTAGAACTGACTGTGTAAACAGACCATATTAATAACATGCCATACACCTCTGAAATGAGCACAGGTTTTTATGGCAAATGACTCTAATAACATGGGCTAGAGCAGGCTTCCTTAACCTCGGCCCTCCAGATGTTTTGAGACTACAATTCCCATCATCCTTGACCACTGGTCCTGCTAGCTAGGGATCATGGGAGTTGTAGGCCAAAAACATCTGGAGGGCTGAGGTTGAGGAGGCCTGGGCTAGAGCTATCCCTGCCAATGAGGAATATTAATATCCCTGACCAATCCATTAATTAATACTACTACAGTGGTGCCCCGCAAGACGAATGCCTCGCAAGACGAAAAACCCGCAAGACGAAGTTCCCTATGGGCTTGCTTTGCAAGACGAAAACGTCTTGCGAGTCTCGCCATTTCCCCCCCGCTTTTTTCCCCTCTTTCAAAGCCGCTAAGCCGTTAATAGGCTTTTAACAGCTTAGCCGCTAAGCCGCTAATAGCGCTAAATCGCTAATAGCGCTAATCCGCTTAGCCGCCAATGGGGTTGCTTCGCAAGACGAAAAAACCGCTAGACGAAAAGAATCGCGGAACGGATTCTTTTCGTCTTGCGAGGCACCACTGTACTCTGTATACCTCTCCCCCCCCAATTGACTTTTCATCTTAATCCTAGCCTTTCTGAAGTTTTTTATCTGCTATGATGACACTGTATTAAATAGCCAGCTACTGGACTGAAGAAGAACATCATTATTGTCTTGTGTCTTAATAAAGTCACTGACTTTCTTTTATATGCTTGTGATTAGCTCTTACTTGCTTTTGTAACATTTGTTACAGAAGTCAAGCTACTCTGTTCATAATTCCCCTGAGCTTTCCACTGAAGATAACGAACCACGTTCTTAAGAGATGGCTGCAAGCCTTGAAAAAAATTAATCATTCCACAGCCATGCTAACTAATGGTTCCCATATTCTTTTCCAACTAAGATTCAGGATCATTGAAGATGTCATCGGCCCCCTGGTTTTGAATTCATTCAGATGGTCCAACTATTCAACAGACTTCATCACTAGCCTGACCTGTGGCCTTGCCCATCCTCACTCTTGTCAGTGTTGCTAAATGTCTCATTAAAAGGGTTTTATTTTCCTTGCAGAGACTTGAAGCAAAGCAGGCACTGAGCGGTTAATTGAGCTATGGACTGTGCATATGTCTGTGAGCACGTGTGTGTTTCTAGCACGCTTGTGAATACCTCTAATGGTTAGCCTCATTTTTCTGTTTGTTTGAGCTAGCACTGCTGAGCTTTTGGTTCAGGATGACTTGATCACATGAATGCCGACAAGGAAAAAGGAGAATAAACTTTTTGAAGGTTCCCCTGTAGAATACTGTAATTGGAAACACCTGCCTGTTTCTAACATCTGCTTATTTGTGCTAGCTGTATTTGTGCCTGTAATGTAAGGTCTCCATGAGCCCTGCTCTTGGAGTGACGAGTGCCTGCAAAAATCCTGTATGAATGTATTGGATAGAAAAGAGACAGACAGACAATCAGACAGGCAGAGAAGCAGCTATTGTGAGATCTGCTCAGGTGTTTCATTTTTAAATTCAGGAAAATAGCTTTGGCTTTTAGAGCTGCGGTGCTTATAATTTACTTGTGCCCTAAAACAAGTAGAAATGGCAAGATAAAGCACTTGACTTTCACTTCCACGTCAGCAGTAAGCCCATTCCAAAGTCGTATTGTGCTTGTTTACAACTTAACATTCCTCCACCACCGCTCCTTTTTATTCAGCCTCAATCCACTTCCTGTATGAGGTACCCCTTTCTTGAACTCCAGGAGCCTGTAACATAATATATTTTTTTAAAATTCGCTAAACACAAGGAGTATGTCACTCTGTCACTGGGAAGAGGTTATGGGTATCTTGCCATGGAGCAATTGCAATCCCGTATTGCATATGTTGTTGTTAACAGTAAAACACGGAGCAAGGATAATACAGGATAATGACAGAAGTCATGAAATTAAAAGATGCCTGCTTCTTGGGAGAAAAGCAATGACAAACCTAGACAGCATCTTAAAAAGCAGAGACATCACCTTGCCAACAAAGGTCCGTATACTGAAAGCTATGGTTTTCCCAGTAGTGATGTATGGAAGTGAGAGCTGGACCATAAAGAAGACTGATCGCCGAAGAATTGATGCTTTTGAATTATGGTGCTGGAGGAGACTCTTGAGAGTCCCATGGACTGCAAGAACATCAAACCTCTCCATTCTGAAGGAAATCAGCCCTGAGTGCTCACTGGAAGGACAGATCGTGAAGCTGAGGCTCCAATACTTTGGCCACCTCATGAGAAGAGAAGACTGGAAAAGACCCTGATGTTGGGAAAGATGGAGGGCACAAGGAGAAGGGGACGACAGAGGACGAGATGGTTGGACAGTGTTCTTGAAGCTACCAGCATGAGTTTGACCAAACTGCGGGAGGCAGTGGAAGACAGGAGTGCCTGGCGTGCTCTGGTCCATGGGGTCACGAAGAGTCGGACACGACAACAACAACAACAACAACAAAGGATAATACGTTCTAAGGTTTTAAGATAGTGTGGCTGAAATGTACTAACTTGAGAACATGCACATGCCTCGTGAAATAAGTCACTGCTGCACACAGAACAAATGATGGAAACCAAAGGATGTTTGAGAAAACTGTTCCTGCACCGTGCAACAGGTAAAGAGGAGGAGGGCCTTCCTAGAAGCAAACAGGTTAATCTAGTCCATCTTATGATGCCTGCCTTCCATAGGTTAATACAGGTTGCTGCTGCTTGGCTGGGCCTTCCCTTCAACTATTGCTGCCTCTTCTAGGTTATCCCACCTGTATCTCAAGCCTACTCTCATCATTTTTTAATGGGCTCTGGGAACAGCATCACAGTGAGAAGTAGGAGGAAAGTAACAAGTAGAATTAAAGCCGTCACAGTGGTTGTGTCTCAAAGGTAGGGAGCAAGGCTTGTTACCAAGCCATTGTGGAATACAGCTCATGGCTGTACTACAGGTCTGAGCTTCTAGATTACCCCCCACCTTTAAATATGTAGAGGATTGCACTGTTGTTGTTTTTAAAAAAGCAAACTCTCAGAAGTTGGGCTGTTAACTAATATTTGTATCTAAGGGGAAAGGAACTGTTAAGAGGTGACAGAGTAGGAACTTTTCCCCCTTTTTCTTTTTGCACAAAAACAAACCCAACGGAGGAATTTACAAGGGTTCAATTTCAAAATACAAAAAACCCTCCCTTTTATAAATGCTTCTGTGTCCTGGGTCCTCTTGCTACTGGAGAGTTCTGTATGGAATAACAACTGTCTGGAATGTAGGATGCTTTGGCTAAGATGGGCTATCAGGTTGGAAGAGTAGATAGCTGAGATTGTCAGTCTCCCATTATATTCTCTCCCCCTTGCCCTGCCCCTGTAACCTCCAGCTGACCTAGTGACTAGAGGAAAATGAAAGTTAGAATGCCTCTTCCAAATGAGCATATATGGCATTTAGAACAATTTTGGAATGGAGGAATTTGGGTTTTTTGTTTTGTTTTTTAAATAGTAACTAATAAAATGACTTGTTTCAATTTGCTACAGAACAAATGTCCCCTGTGATAAACAGCACTTGCTGGTGATTAAGTAAATTCTCCAAAAGGAGAACTTACTGGATCACAGCAATCTTTCCACAACACATTTGCTCTATGGAAGGCAATTAAAATAATTCTTGATTCAGACAAAACAGAGATGTCCCTTCAACATACCTTGCTAAACACGAGCTGTGAAAGAATGAAAATTTATGGTAACTGCAACTACCTTATATTATCTGATAGCAACTGAGATAGAATGTTGGAGTGCCTAAAATAACATTTTACATCAGTATGAAGTATCCAGGCATTTAGACTTTTATGTTGCAATTGCACCCAGGAGGAATTCAATTTTAAAAAATGGGGAGGGGGGGAGATCATATTTTATTTGTTCTTACTGGGTTCAGGTAGTGAGGATTGAAGCTTTACAATTGATTTTTCTAGGTATTTTCAAAAGTGGATATGCATCGCCTTGGAATATCAGTGGAATTAATTTATTCCTGTTTATGCATTGTTTACCTCTAAGCTTAAATATGTGAAAGATACATATGGTTGGAGAAATATAGAGGACATATACATTGACTCAGTAACAATTGAAACATTGGAGTCTACATCTTTGAATGGGCTGAGCACCTGGGGGTCATCACAAGATGCTGTGAATCTCTCCTCTGACATCTGCCCTTGTTGGACTTTCCAAGGCAACAAAAGCTATGATTGATACAGACACAGTAAACAGAATGCCTTCCGTTCCCTGACGTGACTGCCACAAAGGCCTGCATTCTTACATGCAGGGACAAAAACCTCAATCCCTTGGTTTATATTGGTGTTGGAATAAAAGTAAGCCCTGCCTTGTCTCACGGAAGTATGATAAGGATGATGATATACTGTGTTCAGTTCCAATAAGGAAGCTGCGTTTATGGGTGCAGAACTGGTCCAAAGTTTACAACAACAACACAATTATAGCTTCCCTGCCCACTACCATCCCTAAACTTCCAGAAAATTCCTTCTAGAACTATTACTATTCTTTATTGAATTTGTATACCATCTTTCATCCAAACAGCACAGGGTTTTTCACAATGGAAACATACCAAATGAAAACACACAATAACATGTGCGAAACAAGCCAATAACCCCTCTCACCACAAACACATTTAAAAGGCAATGGAATGTTAATCAGCCAAAGGTCTAGCTGACGAGGAACATTTTCGTCTGGCATCTAAAATATATATAATGAAGGTGCCAGGTGAACCTCTCTGGAGGTTCCCCACAAATGGGGAGCCAATGCAAAAAAAAAGGGGGGGACTGTTCTCATGTTGCCACCCTTCAGACCTCTCCTGGAAGGAGACACACAAAGAAAGGGCCTCAGAATATGATCTTAGGGTCTGTGAAGGTTTATAATGGCAGAGGCAGTCCTTGACATATTGTGGTCCTGAGCTGTTTTAAGGCTTTGTAGTCAAAACCAGCACTTGGAATTGTGCCTGGCAGCTAATTTAAAAAAAAGTTTTGGAAAATATATTGAATTTGCCATAAGCTCACCATTGCCATCTAGTGTCACATTTATGTAAAAAAAAAAAAGGAAAAGGTAAAGGACCCCAGTCAAAGGTGACTATGGGGTTGCAGTGCTCATCTCGCTTTCAGGCCGAGGGAGCCGGCATTTGTCCACAGACAGCTTTCCGGGTCATGTGGCCAGCAGGACTAAACTGCTTCTGGCGCAATGGAACACCGTGACGGAAACGAGAATGCACAAAAATGCCATTTACCTTCCCGCTGCAGCAGTACCTATTTATCTACTCGCACTGGTGTGCTTTCAAACTGCTAGGTTGGCAGGAGCTAGGAAAGAGCAATGGGAGCTCACTCCGTCATGGGGATTTGAAACGCCAACCTTTGGATCAGCAAGCTCAAGAGGCTCAGGGGTTTAGACCACAGTGCCACCCGCGTCCCTGTCACAATTGTGTGATGCACTTAAAACACACTTAAAATGTATTTGCAGCTGTATAGCTGAGTCCCGGGATGCGGGTGGCGCTGTGGGTTAAACCACAGAGCCTAGGACTTGCCAATCAGAAGGTCGGCAGTTTGAATCCCCGCGACGGGGTGAGCTCCTGTTGCTCGGTCTCTGCTCCTGCCAACCTAGCAGTTCGAAAGCGCGTCAAAGTGCAAGTAGATAAATGGGTACGGCTGTGGCAGGAAGGTAAACAGCATTTCTATGCGCTGCTCTGGTTCACCAGTAGCAGCTTCGTCATGCTGGCCACATGACCCGGAAGCTGTACGCCGGCTCCCTCGGCCAGTAAAGCGAGATGGGCGCCGCAACCCCAGAGTCATCCGTGACTGGACCTAATGGTCAGGGGTCCCTTTACCTTTTAGCTGAGTCCCAGATGGCTCAAGCTGTCTTGTCCCAGTGAGGAACCTGGCCTCTGAAAGGTCTTCAGAGGCAGCCATGCTTCCTTCTGCCAGCCAGGATGGTTTGCATGAGGAAGATCTGCTTATCTTTGGGTTGAGGGTCATCCTGCAGTCAACGGTGACCACCCCAAGGCCAACAGTGCTTTCCATGCGCTTTTCAAATGGACCACGCACCTGATCGCTGCGGGCTTGCTGGATTAGGTCTAGGCCGCTGATGCAGCAGCAATTTCCCCACAAGTAAAAAGGGACGCGGGAGGCGCTGTGGGTTAAACCACAGAGCCTAGAACTTGCCGATCAGAAGGTCGGCTGTTCGAATCCCCGCGACGGGGTGAGCTCCCGTTGCTCGGTCCCTGCTCCTGCCAACCTAGCAGTTCGATAGCACACCAGTGCAAGCAGATAAATAGGTACCACTCCAGCAGGAAGGTAAACGGCGTTTCCGTGCGCTGCTCTGGTTCACCAGAAGCGGCTTAGTCCTGCTGGACACATGACCAGGAAGCTGTCTGCGGACAAACGCTGGCTCCCTCCGCCAGTAAAGAGAGATGAGCGCCGCAACCCCAGAGTCGGCCACGGTCAGGGGTTTACCTTTACCTTTAAAAGTTTCCCAAACCCTGCAATGAGGCTCTATCCAGGCGCCGTGCCGCTTTTTGGCAGGGAGGGGGCGCCGCCGCCCAACGCGCCGCGCTTCCCTTCCTTAAGGAGAGACCGAGAAGGTCCTCGGAGCGCGGCTGCCGTTGCCTTACCTGCCGCCAGGTGGGAGTCGCGCCTCCGTCCCCCGGGGAAGTTGGCCAAAGTTTGCCCGCGGCTGCTGGCTGGAGCGCCGGCCGGAGGTAGGTGGTGGAGGAGGAGGAGGAGTGGGGCGGGCGCGCCTTTCCTAGCGGGACGCCGCGGAGAGAGCGAGCGGGGAAAGGGGCTGCAGTGGCGGCGGCGGCGAAAGTGCGCCTGAGGGGCCTCCGGTTGCGAGGCGCCGCAGCGCTCCAGCGCAAGAGGGTAAGGGCGCGTCGCGGCGGCGAGGGGGCTGAGGCGCGAGAGCGGCGTCGGCTGAGCCCCTCGCTTCTCTCTGAGGTAACGGGGAGGGGGTGACGACACCCCTCCCCAAACCTTGCCCCCCTTTTTTCCCTTCGTGTGGTGGGGAGGCTGCGAGGGCGGCGACTTGGCGACGCCTCCAGAGCGGCGTCCGTCCCCCCGTTTCCCTCGGCGGCCGGGCGCTTCTGACAAGCCTTCTCCCCCTGCTTCTTCTTCCTCAGCTCGGGAGTCCCGCCGCGCCTTCCTCTCTCTTGCCGGCCATGGAGAGCAGAGAGGATGCCGAGGGCGCCGGCAGCGGCGGCGGCGAGGGCGCCTTTGCCGAAGCTCGCCGCTGGGTGGAGGTAAGAGAGCCGCGCGCGCGGGGTCCCTGCTGCGCCCCGCAGGTAGAAAAGCGGGGCAGTGGGAAGGACAAGGGGGGGGACTTGTTTTTTTTGTCGTCAGCATTTATAGATATTGCCCTTTAAAAGCAACAAGGCCCCAGCACAATGAAGGCTGCTTCCCCCTCTCTTTCTCCCCGTCCTCCTCTGCCCTGGCATTGCCCACACTTCTTCACCAGACGGGCGGTATTTTCAAATGGGGAGGTGGGTGGAAAAGAGAACGGAACGAGGAATGGTCTGTAGCAAAATACAGAATAAATCACCCTCCAGATTTACCTTTTGGGTCCATAAAACAAAAGTTATTGGTTCAACTTTAACAAAAATAATAAGTTTTTTTTTGGGGGGGGGTGTTACAAACAGGTACACTTCTCCTTTCTCCTTTCCATTCAGAAGTCTCAGAAAGTTTTGCAGCCTGGAAAAAGCCAGAGTGATTCTTCTGAAACAAAATTTGCTTGTACTGCATACTCCTGAGTCCCCCCAGGGGAAAAAAGCACTGCTCCTTGCAGGGCTTTGGGTGTAGCATTAAACTTGCAAAAAGTGGAGTGGCTGGCCGGCCGGTTGGTCATGCAACCTTGCAAGCGCCTAGCGCCAATTCCAGATGTGCCTGGTGGGGATTTGAGGAGGTAAAGGTATCTTTGCTTGCATACACCCTGTCCTTTCATGCCTTGTTAAATAACAGGCTGGGGACGGCCCCTTTAACTACTGTCTTGCTTGGAAAACACACTCTAGGTAGGGTGTGGTATGATATGATATGGGTAAAATTGAAGAGAGATGGGGTGTGGGCCTTACGGCTATCAGGAAGGGCCACCCAACTTTTTCTCCTCTAGTATGAGCACTAGATTCAGAGGTGTGCCCAGGTGTTGGTTAGCTTGTCCCTGCCAAGGGTGTAGGCCCAGTTTCCAAAATTGCACCTTCTCCACTTGGCTTGGAGTGAGCCCATCCGCCCATCTGTGCTCTCCCTGGGGTGCTCCTTTGCTGCCCTGGGCAACCGGGTGAGGCACACAGGCTCATCTGGGCACCTTGGCAGAGAGTGCAAGGGGCAGAGGTGTGCCGATACAGCTCCTTGTCAAAGGAGCCTGGTTATGGCTCTGACTAGTGTGTGTTTTTTGTCATTTGAGAGTTCAGCCACAGGTTCTTGGGTGGAGCGTTTGCTCAAATTAAGCAGAGATTTTGTGGAAATTTTGATGGGGTTGATGTTAGCTCACTTGGAAATAAGGCCCACTGGATTTTGTGGGAATAACTTCAGAGTGTGTGTACTAAGTTGGAGTTGCTTCTGTGTTGCAATTGCTGGATCCCCTGTTATTTAGGCATATCCTTTTAATGTATAGGAAAGTTTCTTGTTACAGGATATTTAGGTTCAGTAGAATAGGCTTTTGAACCTGTAGCACGTCCCCCAGCTGTTGTTGGACCACAGCTTCCATTATCCCTATTGGCTACACCGGCTGTGGCTGATGGGAGTTGTAGTCCGTCAACAACAACTAGAGGGGCATGGCTTTCTTGCTCTAGAACAGTGTTTCCCATACTTGGGTCTCCAGCTGTTTTTGGACTACAATACCCATCATCCCCTGACCACTGGTCCTGCTAAGTAGGGATTGTGGGAGTTGTATTCTAAAAAACAGCTGGAGACCCAAGTATGGGAAACACTGCTCTAGGAAAAACAACTCCCCAAGAGGTCTTGCAGTCCATGGAAGCCTGATTCCCACAACAAATTTCTTAGCCTTTAAGGTACTAGAAGATGACTTGTTGGAACATACAGTGGGTCTCATTCATGTCCTTTTACACTTCGGTGAATTGCATTCGGTATTCATTATTTTCCACATGGCAACTTCAGAAAAACAGTGCCTTCGGTGAAAGTTTGGTTTAGAAACTCAGGCATTTCTTGGCCTTGATAAGCCAGCAGACTGCTGTTATTGGGAGTTGCTCATTAAGAATGCAGGGAATGAAGAATCCTGCTCAGGTGCAGATGGTTAAGTTAGATGGCCTTCAGATCTGGTTTAACTTTCCCTTAAATGTTCTCAAATGAACAACGGGATTTGGGAGGGTGCATTCCTTTCCACTTAGCAAAGCATATATTAAATTTTGTGGCAGGGATTGGATCTGTGTGCTGTTCTTAAGGGGGCAATTCAGTTGTCAACCTGAACTAATGTAGTCCTGCCAGGGACAATGGAATTGCACTTGTGGGAGAAATTTGACAGCCGATTCCGGAAAAGAGACTAACTTATGCTTGGAACTCAAGTAGTTGAAAGAGGTGATGCTCTATAAAGTTAACAAGGTGCCTTGGTGGCTCAGTTCAGCAGAAGCTAAACACTTTTGAACATCCCCAATAGTTGCAGGCACCTGTGCACTTTCAGAAAGCGACACTTAAGTTCTGCTGTAAAACTATTCACAGTTCTCAAAGAAAATTATTTGCAACTCCAGGAATTTCTGTACACACTTTACTAGGTTTCTAAAAGGGAGGGAAAAGGGAAACACTTTCCCCCTTGCCCCCCCTCTTCTGTTTCAGGAAATGAATAAACTGGAATTTTAAGTGTATTCACATGGCTTGTCCTGTTTCGGGTAGTAGAATTTATCAGCAAGTAGACTCTGAGCTTTTAGGTTTATGGCACCTATGTGGGATATGTGAAGACTGGGCTCACATGCACAGCAGGTGTGCAGAGCGTAATTGTAGTGTTAATTACAATTGACTTTATAACAAGTGAGAGTGGAGCTACAAGTTAGAAAGTAAATATGAGGCTTATGATCCATAACACTAAAAAGGAATTGAGAGGGGCACTATCAGGGAGAATCATACTTCTGCCCTGAATTGCTTTCAAACTCTTGAAACAGATTTTTAAACTTGCTTATTTGCAACCATAGTGTTTGAAAAAGGAATATTGCTCCACAAAGGTGAAGTTAATGGGTCGATAAGATAATTGAATTTTTCTTTACCCTCAAGGAGTTTGTGTACTATTTTAGGATATGGGAGGATTTTTCCTTTGATGGATGTCTATTAATAACTGGGACTTTTCCCTTTTACCCTGGAACTAATAAAAAAACAACCTAGCAATTTAAGCTGCAATCTGAACCTCACTTACCAATGAGTAAGCTCAATTGAATTCAGTAGGACTTTCTTCTGAGTAGGCTGGTTAGGATTACATCCTTATTTGTTGACATTTGTAGAAGAATAGACACCTGTTTGTTGCAGCTAGTCTGTTTTTGCTTTCTTCGTGATGCACATTAAAATTTAGTATAATCACAGAGTCTGGTCTTCTCTTGCGTATGCTCTATGATTTAAGTTAGGAGGTGAATTTAGCCACGGATAGTTTTTAATCTTCAGGAGAGTACCTGGATAACTTGGGCTCTGGCATTGTATTTGGGCCATGATGTCAAGTGCAATGCTTTTCCCTTAATTTGATTATGGAGGCAGCACAGAAGCTACAGCCAACCGGAGTGAAGAATCTATTAGTGCCCCCCACCCATTTTAAATGGAGAAATGGGACCTTGCAATTCTTGATGGGAAGCATAACAAGTAAGAAGTAGTGATTGACTCTTGCAATTAACTTCTGCTGCTTCCACTTGCCAAGTAAAGACATTTGCAAAGAGGCCTTGCCCCATTTCTTACCTTTGCAGACTGTTTCCTTTTTTAATCAGTAAATGAGATTCCACCATAGAAGTATCCTCAATACGACTGCTAAATGAATTTCATGTACTTATTTTTTATTATTATTTCATTAACTTTGTATGTTGCCCTTCACCCGTAAATCTTGGGGTGGTTCACAACGTCAAAATACAAGATAAAAAACGCAAAATGAATAATAAGAACAAGAACAAAACAAAGCAAACCAATAACGCCCCCTCTCACAGACACATTTAAAAGGGTGGAGGGTGTTCTAATTGAGTGACTCGAATAATTTTCAGTTATCAGATGCAAGAGTTCAGGGTCAGACCAAGAGTCCATCAAGCCAGACTTCTTGTTTCTGACAGTAGCCAGTCAGATGTCTCAATTTTTTAAATGGGCCAACTGAAATTTCAAATGTGGCAAAGCAGTAGATTTTATATACTGTATAGGAATTGTGATGCTAGCCATTCTGTTTTGGAACCAAAAATCTTTTATTTTTATACAGCCCCACCAAATGTCTGCTTTGCATCGCCCACACCTCTAGTATTTATCTTGATACCCGTTTTCAACTCAAAGGCGTATGTGCAAGATGATATCCTTGACACTGATAAAAATGCACTTTAAGAATATAAATGCAACCACAAGTCTTATTGCTTGTTAACATATGGTAGCAATAGCACTCTCAGTAGCACCTCTTTGTTGCCAGTAACACGCAGGTGGGAACAGCAATAAAATTCTAAATATGAAATGGTGAAATACAAATTTGTGTGTGTGTTTTCGAACTAAGTATAGGGAGAGCTTCCACAGTGAAGCGTAGTAAGCATGCTTAATTCAAATATTACAATAGTTAAAATGCAATGATGATACGATTTCAGATAGGGGATGTACACTGCAGACTATCCCCTAGGACCTGAAGTATTTTTCTTAGAACAGATGTAGCTAATACAGTGGTGCCCCGCAAGATGAATGCCTCGCAAGACGGAAAACCCGCTAGACGAAAGGGTTTTCCGTTTTGGAGGTGCTTCGCAAAACAAATTTCCTATGGGCTTGCTTCGCAAGATGAAAATGTCTTGCGAGTTCCTGCAGGGTTTTTTCCTCCCCCCCTTTTCCCAAGCCGCTAAGCCGCTTAACAGCTGATCCGCCAAGCCGCTTAACAGCTGATCCACTAAGCCGCTTAACAGCTGATCCGCTAAGCCGCTTATCAGCTGATCCGCTAAGCCGCTTATCAGCTGATCCGCTAAGCCGCTAATAGCGCTAATCCACTAAGCCGCTAATGGGCTTGCTTCGCAAGACGAAAAAACCGCAAGACGAAGAGACTCGCGGAACGGATTCTTTTCGTCTTGCGAGGCACCACTGTATGTTAAAG